AGTTTCACAGGACCACAACTTACCTGAGGGTAAAAATAAAAAAATAAGCAAAATTAGGCAGTGCCATCTAGAAACACGTAAATATACAGCAAAACCAGATTGTGCGAAAGCTTACCATGCACAGTTGGGTGCTCCTGGGTGTAGCAGTGCTACTTATTAATGCACTGTTCTCAATGCTTGTCATATTTTACAATTACATAGTGACCAAAATGGAACCAAGAAACTGTGTGATTGCTGGTCGTGAATCCTTTATAGTGATTTCTGATCATCAGTCCTTCATAACTAACCAGGCAGCCTGCCACCATGCCCATAAATGGGAAGAGCATCTTCCCACACTTAACTGTTGCTTACAGGAGAGCTGAACGTAGTCACGTGGCTCCCACCACTGCCCAGGCAGCCTGGGCTGGTCTTCATCTCCTAATCTAGCAAGGAATAGAAAGGACGCCTCTTGGTCCACAAGTCCTTGTTGAGCTTTCTATAGCCTCAGCACAAGGCCAGGGAAGTTGCCTTTAATCCCAAGGGCTATTTATGGGCCATCAGATCCCAGCCAGACCTTCAGCTCTCCTAGAAGTCTGGCTTTCAGTCTCCTCATTTACATGATCCAACTGAAATCTGACACAAAAGGCTGCCGGGCAGAAGGGGGAGGGCAGAAAAAAAGGTTCAACCTCATGCCTAGGGCACGGGACAAGCCGTGACTCTGCCTTGATCTAGCACAAGCCCAAAGGCCAGCCTCCCCATGTGGAGAGGAGGAGGCAGGGAATTGGTTAGTGGTAGTGATGACAACCCAGGGTGTGTGTGACAAGTCTCCTAGGGCTGTGTAGACTTTGCCTTCTGACGGGTCAAGCTTCAAAATGGCAGTTTTTCTGCTTAACGTTCATGTGGCCTTATAAAATTTCAAACATCTAGCCAGGCACCAAGGTCTCCGCCTGTAATCCTAAACTACAGGAGGGGATGGAGGTTTGAGGCCAGCCTGGGCTGAAAAGTTCATGAAACCCCTTCTGAACCCATAGCTGGATACAATGGCATGTGTCTGTCATTGCAGGAATGACAGGAAGTCTAAAAATAGGTAGATCATGTCCATATGCATGCCTGAGCATGTTGATTTCAAAAATAGCCAGCCAAATACAAGGCTGGAGTACCTGCCTACCCAGCCCAAGGCCCTGAGTTCAAACCCAGATTCTACCCAAAAGCCAAAAATAAAAGGAAAATAGGAGAAAAATATCAGCATTTAGGGTTTCTTATCTGCAGTAAATCCAAGATAATTGTGCCAGGAATGATGGCTCACACCTGTAATTCCAACTAAGCAGAGAGGGGGATCCTAAGTTTAAGGCCAGTCCAAGCAAAGTAAAGCAAAAGCCAAGGAGCTTAGGATATAGCCCAGTTGGTGGATTACTTGCCTAGAAACTTAGGCCATGTGTTCAATCCTCAGTACTCCTATACACACAAAGCAAATTCAGGGTAATTGCTCCTAGTTTTCACCAAAAAAAAATAAATAAATAAAGAAGAAGAGAGGGAATTGTCATAATGCTTCGGAAACACAGAAAGTTCCTGTTTGGATGGGGGTGGGGAGAAATACCAAGCTCTGTTTTCTTCCTATTCTCACAACATAACTCAGAACATGTCAGTAAATGAGCAGGGAGGGGTGCTTTCTCAAGTAGACACAACACAGTGTCCTGCCACTAAATTCTGACACTGTCAGGAGATAGCCTAGACCCCACAGGAGAGAGCTTGGGTCCCCTAAGTGTGTTCCCATCCAGATGCTAAGCATAAGCCGTAGGCTGCCCACAACTATCCCCAGCTTAGGTGCAAACTAGAGGTTCTCATGACTCCCTTTCCTTTCTCAAGTAATTTGTTAGAGCGGTTCACAGACTCAAGGAAACATATTTATCATTATTCTGTTAGTAAAGGATGGGGTCAGATGAAGAGACATGCCTGGGAAGGTCTGGGGAGAGGAGACAGGGAGCTAAGAGTTCAGAAACCCAAGTTAACATCTAAATGTTAAAACAAAAGAATTCTTCCAAACCCTTACCTACAAGGGCTTTTGAAGTTCTATCTCAGGAAGTAGGGACAGTTGTCTATGCTGGAGTTTAGATATGTCCAAAAGGCTCAGGTCCCAAAGATCTGGTCCCCATTAGGTGGCACTACCAGGAGGGGATTGGATCTCAAGGGTGTTAACCTCATCAGTGGATTAACCCATGGATGAGGCAATCAATTAGGAGACTAGATCACTGCGGGTATGGCCTGGAAGGGTCTGTCCTTGGCTCCTGACCCCAGTTCTTTCTCAGCTGCCATAATATGAGCAAAGTATTTCCTTCTACCATGATGCTACGCTCCTCAGGCCTTCACCAAAGAATGCAACCAGCCCATGGGGGATGGGAAACGCGAGACCTTCAAGCTTCCGCCTTGAGGTTAGTTTTTATTTTAAAAAGACATTTTGTCATCACAATGAAAAGTGGCTACCACAAATTCTTATCTTTCACGTGTTCAACAAAACTTACTACTTAATAAAAATGAATGGATTCCCTGTGGTGAAGAATAAAGGACTTTTGCTTCCTGGCCCACTTCTTAGCCCTGGCACAGCTGCCTGACTTGACACAATTCTTCCTCCTTTCTTCCATTGCACTGGGAGAGTGAAACAGCTTCAACTCTCAGAATTGTCGTTCCATAAGACTGAACCACACAGGCAGAGAGAATTCCTCTCCCTCACCATGCTGAATGGTGAAGAGAAAGGACATTCAAAGCTTAAAGAAGGTGAGTGGTCAACCTGTGAGCCATGGTGATTCAGACAAAACTGCAATTTAGATCTTTCCAAAAACCAACTTTAGATAGTCCCACTTCCTTCTGCTGCAAAACTACTCTTCAAGGAAATAAAACATGCTTAACTAAAAACTGGGTGAAAAATACACACACACACACACACACACACACACACACACACACACACACACACACACACGCACACACACACACACCACACGAACCAAGTCAAGAAACAAACATCTTAGATCCAACACCCCACCAACCAATTTGTCATCAGTGGTCCACTTTCATGAAACCTTCATGCTTTAGATTTCAACTCTTTGTGCCAAATTCTCTACAATCTGGTTCAGGCATCACATGTCAAATAGAAACCCTTTTTGATGGTTTCAATTTCAAATAATATTCTTCATTGAATGGTAACAGAGACACCTTTTTCCTTTCTTTCTTTTTTATAAACAAATCTCACCTGTATGATATATAGCCAAGACCCCAGGATATGAAGCAGGGTTTTTATCTTTTACAGAGGAAGGCTAGTTTTCAGATTTCCACAGTGCTGCCCATCCTTTTCCTAATAATCCCCAATTAGTGTTTTAAAAGCAGGTACTAGAAGCAATGAAAAGGAAAAACAGTCCTTATATATCACCCTGCACCAGAATCAACCCCAAATGGATCAAAGACCTTGAAGTCAAAGCAGACACCCTGAAAACATTACAGGAAGGAATAGGTGAAACTCTAGGGCTCCTTGGCACAGCCCAAAATTTTCTTAACAGAGACCCAGGAACACAACAAAGAAATGTTGGACAAATGGGATTACATGAAACTGCAGAGCTTCTACATGGCAAAGGACATAGCTAGCAAGATCAACAGAAAGCCCACGGATTGGGAGAAGATCTTTACTAGCCAAACAAGAGACAAGGGTCTTTTATCTCAAATAAACTTGGAACTCAAAAAATTAAATCAAATCCCTCAGCAACAAATCCTCAAGAAACAACTGCCCACTTAATAAGTGGGCTTACAGAGAAACTTCTCTGAATAGGAAATAAGAATGGCCAAAGACATATGAAGAATTGCTCAACTTCTCTAGCCATAAAAGAAATGCAAATCAAAACAACATAAGATTCCACCTCACCCCAGTTAGAATGGCTATAATCAAGAAATCTAGTAACAGATACTAGAAGGGATGTGGCCAAGAGGGAACCCTACTGCATTGTTGGTGGGAGTGTAAACTTGTTCAACAACTTTGGAAAGCAGTATGGAGGTTCCTCAAAAGACTCCACATAGAGCTCCCCTATGACCCAGCAATCCCACTTTTGGGCATTTACCCAAATGATCACAAACAAGGCCATACTAAGGCTACCAGCACAACTATGTTTATCTCAGCATTATTTACCATAGCTAAGATAGAGAACCAACCCAGATGCCCCTCAGTAGATGAATGGATCAAGAAAATGTTGTATTTGTGTGTGTGTGTGTGTGTGTGTGTGTGTGTGTGAGTGTGTATATATACATTCATATATATATATACACACACAATGGAATTCTACGCCTCCATCAAAAAGATTGGCATTGCCCCATTTGTTAGGCAATGGAAAGACTTGGAAAAAATTATATTAAGTAAAGTAAGCCAGGCCCAAAGAAACATAGGTCCCATGGTTCCCTTATTTGCAATAACTAGCATATGTCTAGGACAAGCAGAAAAGCTCAAAAACTATGTACATATGACCATATATGATGATGCTAAGCGAAATGAACCCCAAGATATGGACACAAGTGGTTTTATCTTTCTTGCTGTTGATTTAACGTATTTACAACGTACTACATGACTTTTTTGTTTCTTTTGTATGTTCTTCCCCCATGGTATAACCCATTTTCCTTTGATTCCTGTGCCCTGCATCTCTTATATACATTTTTTTCTAATTTGGGGAGAGGAAGGGAAATAACAAAATGCTTAAATAAGGATACAGGTTGACCCATTGTAACAATGAGGTGTACAAGACACTATGTTGAAAACAAACTTTACAACTTGGGCGGTAGATTTGGGAAGGTGGAGGAAAACAAAGGAGGTGGTAACAATGCTGGATAGGAAATGTACTCATTATATTACTCATGTAACTGTAACCCCTCTGTACAGTATCTTTACAATAAAAAATATATTCAAAAAAAATAAAAGGAAAAACCGGTGGCCCTCACGCACTGAACCTCCCTGCATCCCCTTCTTGAGAGCATGCAGTGGTACCTACCATGATGGTGTGCTCAGGAAACTTGGCCCGGACCAGTTTCACAAATTCCACAAAATGTTCTGAATACCCATTGGCTACATCCAGGCAAATAAACTTCACCTGGGGGATGGCACCCAGGATGCTGCTCATCTTTTCCAGATCATTCTGCCCACTTCCTGAGCTCACAGCTACATGCTGTATCAAAATGAATGAGAAGAGGCATGAAGACATATTGTCAGTACATACGCTGACAAAATGACAACCCTTTGTGGTTTACCCTGAGCAAACACAAGAGACCTGCTCAAAGCCAGGTGACCATAGAGGGAGAGGAGACTTAGTCCCTAAACCATCTAAACTCTGATCTGTTCTCTTTTCTACCCCTGAACCACAAAGATCCTTAAACCTGGACCCCCCCCCAACCACAAAATCTTTCAAAAAACCTTGTCCCCAACCTCCATTTCATCTTCTCAAGCTTTTGGTGTGGAACTGAGTCATGTAGCTAGTTGTACATAAACATCTTTGCAGAGAAACTTTGAGGACAACTGAGAAAAAGAGAAGTTTCCAGACAATATAAAGGGATGCTGGTCACTCTGAAACTGGGACCTCACCCCCAGTGGTACCTTATTTAGGGAGCAGCAGCTACAGATCAGATCAAAGATTTTTTTTTTTTGAGGAGGGGAGATATTCTGGCTCTGGGGCTTGAACTCAGGGCCCAAGCAATGTCTCTTAGCTTTTTCTGATTCAATGCTAGCACTCCAGCACTTGAGCCACAGCTCCACTTCTGGCTTTTTAGTGGTTAACTGGAGATAAGAGTCTTGCAGACATTGTTACCCAGGCTGGTTTTAAACCACAATCCTCAGTTCTCAGCCTCTTGAGTAGTGAAGATGACAGGCATGAGCCATAGCATCTGTACCCAAGAAAATTTTCTAATCACAAATGATGTGAACACAAAGGTGCAACTCTGACTTCAGAGATCTCCGGCCAGCCTATACTACAAGGAAATTCATGGGAGTTATAATAAGGCTTTGTATTATCATATTTTCTTTTTGTCTGAGACTGGGATACAACTCAGTACCTGATGCTTTCACTCACTGCCTAGTGCTCTACCAATTAAGCCATGCCTCCAACCCTGTGTTATCATTTTAAAACTGCTTCATTATTTGGACCCACCTTGAGATATAATGACATACAATTTACCTACAGTGCACTATCAATGGTTTTGAACATACTCAGAGCTTATAATCTTCATATCACAATTAATATTTTACAACATTTCCATAGTTTTCAAGAAGAAACCCTCACACTTTCTTCTGCCATCTCTTTCCTTCTCTTCACAGGGAACCACTAACTCATTTTACATCTCCACAGTTTTGGCTAATCTGGACAACTTAAATCGGTGAAATCATAGATTTGGCCTTCTGTATCTGGCTTCTTCCCTTAGCAAAATGTTCTCAAGATTCATCCATGTTGCAGTATGAGTCAGTACTTTATTCCTTTACATACTGAATTCCATTATACAAATCCTGTTTGTCAGCTGTTGGACATTTTGTTGTTTCTACCTTTGGGCTATGATGAATCATACAGCTATGAATAATCATGAATTTTGGGCAAATACTTGTCTGCAGTTGTACTGGATCTGTATCTACAAATACATCACTGGGTCTTGTGATCATTCTGAAGTTTACCATTTTGTGGAATGGCAGCCTGGTTTCCATAGAAGCTGTACCATTTTATCTTCCTGCCTTCCATGCATGAACCTTCCAATTTCTCCTCCTCCTAAAAATACTTATCTGTCTTTTTTGCCCTGGCAATCCTAGCAGCTGGATTATTAACTCAAAAACAACTTGCTAGCATTAGATCTTTTTCCTTTCTTCCTTTCCTTTCCCTTCTTTCCTTCTTTCCTTCCTTCTCTCTTTTCTTCCACCTTGCCTTCCTTCTTTCCTTCCTTCCTTTCTTAAGACTGGGTTTTATCCTAAGCCAAGGCTGGCCTGACACAATCAATTCTCCTGCCTCAAGCTACCAGTAGTGGAATTACAGATGAGTGATGCCATAGCTAGTATTAGATGGTTTTTTTTTCTACAGCAAGAAGACACATTCATGTTGGATCCACCCTAAAACACTTGGCAGGAAACACAAGTCTTCTCCCAAGCTCTGGTAATATAACACTTCACCTTCCTCAGGAGGTTACGAAATGGAGTTCTTTCCTCAACACTGTCCTGGCAATGGCAGGAGTAGAGATCCCCTGCCTGTTCTGTGTCTGTACTTCAGATGCTCTTGGAAAGCTGGGTGTCTCGTCCCCCTGGACCCCTGTCATTTCAATCTGGGCTGTGGTCTTACCTGCAGGCACTCAGGGTGATTGGTGGCAAACTGCTTCCAGTCATCCAGGGTGTAATGTTTATGGACTGCCGTAAACAGAGAATGCTAGGAAACAGAACAGTGAGGTTAGGCAGAAGCCAAGGGAGGCCTCTGCCCTCCTCCAGCTGCAGGTAGGGAGAAAACAAGACAAAAGCACCTGCCCCGCCTCCTCAATTCATACTTCATTGGCTATGGGTAGGAGGCCAAAACACAAAGAGGCATTAACTAGTAAAATCACAAAACTGTTTCCCATTCTAATCTGATTGGACACTACAGCCTTCAGGACCTTTAAGGCTCATACAAAAGACAAAGGAGGGCTAAAGAGGTTCTCAGAGCTCAGTCCACGCCTAAGTTAAGCAAACAGCTGCATAGATGGCCCAAAAGAAAGCTGGTCAGGACCTCAGCCCAGAAGGGCCATCTTAAGACAAACTTCTGTTTCAGAACCCTGAAGGATCATGCCTATATCTTAAACCTTTTTCTTGTCTTTATAACCTAAAGACTTCTTGCTAAAAGCTACAACTACCAGGCAGTTGGGGTTCTTCAAGGTGGGAATAACATAAACTATACTCATAAACCTCTGACTACTAACCTAGCCTCTACCTCCACTGTGTGCTAATGTGTGGCAAATATTATTTCATTTAATTCTCAAGAGCAACTGTGACTGGTGTTAATAGCTTCCTGGATAGGAATGGAGTTTAAGAAATTTAGCAATTACTGGTCTGAATCAGACTCAACTGACAATAGAGTTCATCTCCTTCAGATGGAGCAAGGCCTCTGTCCTGACTCCTGAGTGCCTGTTTCCTTGCACAATGTCTCATTCAAATTTTACAACTTCATTAATTTGTATGGACCCTTTGGATCCTAGAAATAGTGATAGCACTCACACATGGTTGTTATCTATGTCAGCTATCAGCACATACTGTCTCATTCCTGGAAAACCTTTCTCATGAAAATGGAGGGTAGAGGGATGAATATAGCAAGCTCTAGGTTTTTCTTCCATACATTAACAATCTGATATCAACAAGTTATTGATCACTCCCTCTGTTAGTTTTCTGTCCTATCACAAAGTGCCCAAGATAATTCACTTCTAACAAGGAAAAATGTATTCTGGTTGGATGTTCTAGTCCATGATCAATCCAGCCCCATTCTGGGGTGAGGCACCACACCTTGGGGGACGTGTGTAGCAGAACAAAACCATTCCCTCATGAGCCAGGGAGTCAAAGAAAGCAAAGAGATGCTGGGTTCCCACAATTTCCTGGAAGGGAATGCCTTCAATGACCCAAAGAGCTCCTATTAGGCTCTATACCTCAAGGCTCTACCACCATCCAAAAGAACTAACCTGGTGCTTTCACATATGAACCTCTAGAGGAAACTTAGCCAACCAGCATATACTACTATATAATTCACCAGCAGATGGCTGAAAATGTGGCTTAGTGGTTGAGTGCTTGCCTAGCATGCATGAAGCCCTGAGTTCAATTCCTCAGTACCACATAAACAGAAAAAGCCGGTGATGGCACTGTGGCTCAAGTGGTAGAATGCTAGCCTTGAGCAAAAGAAGCTTACGGACAGTGCCCAGGCCATGAGTTCAAGCCCCAGGACTAGCAAAAAAAAAAAAAAATATATAGAACAAAACAAAATAATTCACCAGTAGTGATTAATGTATTAGTCTCTGATCCAAAATTCACCAGGGCTTAAAACCAAAAGACAATGCCACTGATTGAATAGTCAGGTGAAGTACTCTCTACTCTAATTTTCGAGCTCCCAATTTGACAATCTTTTTCTACCAATCACTGATAGTGCTAAGTCTAGGCACTTCCTGTGCTTAGACTTGCTGCCCACAGTAAAAAGCTCTTTCAACTAACTGATTTACCTTACACTGAATTACAACAGTTACAAAAATACATATAGCCTCTAGACCCACCAGCAGCCACTAGCTCATCCTATCTAGAATGAATAAGACACTCTGTGCTGGGGTAGTCAAAAGGGTTTGCCTATGAGGGGCTTATCTTCATTTTTCCAAAGGCCAAGACTAGCTTTATAAGCAATGAGACTGGAAGTTGGCTAAAAGAACAGTAACTTGAGAGGTAAATCCTTTATCTGGGAGCAAGAAACCTTCTCTGCCTCAGTTCATTATCTATAAAAGGAACCTATCTAATGGTGTAAAAAACACCACTTAGGACACGGGCTATAGCACAGGCTGCAAGTACAAAGCTACTTTCTTGGTGGTACTGGGATTTGAACTCAAGGACTTGTGCTTGTTAAGCAGGTGCTCTACTGCTGAGCCACACCTCCAGCCTTCTTGCCTTAATTTAAAAGGCAAAGTCGCTGTTCTATAACCAGGCACTCCTCATATTGTATTTCTTCTTTACACTCACTTTTCCCAACACAGCATTTTGAAGGTACTTTCCTAGATCACCTAAGGGAACAGAGTCCAGAACCCACCCATCCTGAGTGAAGAGACTAAGACAAAAATCTGTCCCCTAGCAGTAACAATCGGACTCAGGGCAAAGAATGACTGCACAAGGCTGTGGTGGATGCTTGGCAAGAACCCATCCATACTGCAAACAGTATGGGGAGATGGGGAGGAGAGAGAAGAGAGACCGTGTCTCACCTGTGACATGACAACTGCCATCTCAAATGTCCCCACGGTGTCCATGTTGGCCACGATGATAGGAATTCCTGAGTAGGTCTGCTTTGAGTTGCGAAATGTAAATGTACGCTCAAGATCCACCTGTTGGCAAAAAACATAAAAGCAAATGAGTTTCTGCTCTCTGCAATGACGTGTGCAGAATCCCAGTGCTCAGAGCAGCAGGAAAAACCCATCGCTTGCCTCTCCAATCTCACTGCCTTCCACTGCCTGCCTGATTCCTGCTGACTCTAAACACATATGGAATGCTTCCCCTACTTTCCAAGGCCAGGAAGGCCCATTCCCTGTCCAGAAAAATCCACACCACTCTTCCTAGCCAATAGTGACCCTGAAGCTGTCAGAATCTCTGCCGTCTCTCCCCTTTCACCTGGACCCACACACCAGATTTACCCTGCAGTCAGTCCCAAACCTGTATTCCTTCAGCCTTCCAACCTCCACAGCTGTTTTGTAATTCTGAGCATCTTTCAAAGAGCTGGGGAACTGCCCTCTGACCATAGGTTCACAGGTATAAACACTTGTTTCTTTGACTGGCAAACAGCTGGGGGGAGGGCCTCCAATTCTACTGGAACTCTGACTCCAGGGTACTTAGGACTATCAGCTGTCAAGAATCCAGAATGCTAGCTTAGCTGGTGGACTTAGCAGAAACAGTGTGCCAGGGCTAGACACTCAGTCAGCAGATGCAGAGTTACTTCTATAACCCAGACAGCAAGTCCTGGGTTGATCTGATCACAGACAGGCTGCCCCCTATTGGCTCCACTTCTGGCTGTGTTTGGTCCAATGCAGGACAGATGCATGAGAGACTGCAGAGAAGATGAGAGAAAAATCAGGCCCAGACCCCTCTCTCCCAGCCCCTTTGGTCTCAGGTAGAGTCTCCAAAGCAGCTGTGTCTCCTTCTGATCTGGGTGGTCCTAGTGAGACCAGTCCCTCTGGCAAGGATTCTTGTTCTTGCTAATTTCTGAGGCACCTGAATACCTCACTGAGTACCTTGGTGTGTTTAGTACTTCATGGAAAAGGGCAGCTTTGAGGATAAACTCTTCATTTCTAGTAATTTTATTTTTTTGGTTGGTCATAGGGCTTGAACTCTGGGCCTGGGCACCGTCCTTGAGCTCTTCAACTCAAGGCAAGTGTCTACCACTTGAGCCACAGTGCCACTTCCAGATTTATGGTGGTTTATTAGAGATAAGAGTCTCAAAGACTTTCTGCCCGGGCTGGCTCCTGAGTAGCTCCTGAGTAGCTGGGATTGCAGGCGTGAGCCACTGGTACTTGGTTTCGTTTCTAGAAATTTCTATAAAGCAGATTCATGGCATAGGGACTACAGCTCAGTGGTAGATCATATTCTTGCCACCCATGAGCTCCTGGGTTCAATCCTCAGTGCCCACCTCACCCCCAGTGGTGACATAAAGTAGATTCTACACAGTATTTAATGACCTGCATTCAATGGCCTGCTGGGAATATTCTGCTTGGTTCATTTCCTTGTCTGGACACAAGCACACAGACCATAATATAAGTGCTGGCCTCAGGTGAAACACAGGCACCTGAAATGGTCAAGAACTCATTGATGGCGTCCTAACCTACCAACCATAAACATGTCCTACTCAGGTCTATCTTGAGCTTCTATTCTTTTTTATTTGATTCAGCTTGCACTGACTTGATACAACCTGCACCAAATCAGAGAGTACTGGGGCAATGTCAGACTTTCACTGCTGTCACTCCCCCAGCACAGGCCATGCCGGCTGAGCCAGCAGTCAACCAGGGGAGAGGAGTAGCTGCCAGGGCATGACTATGTGACAGTGTCTCACCCCCTTCTCCATCATTGTCATGATGACTCTGCCTCCACAAAAGCCAGTTCTGCTGACATTCTGCAAGATAGCTGTGGAGTCTGTTAGTTGCAACCTTCTGTGCTGCTAATGGCCTGCCTGTCTTAAGCCAATCAGAATTCCTTGGCCTAAAACTCCTCTTGCTCTCCTCCAAGACCCACAGGGAGAGTGCTGCTTCAGTCTGCGCCTAGCTGAGATCACAATAACTTTTTCTTGGCACCCTAAGTCTTATCAGCAGTCAAAAAAAAAAAAGTCATCCTTGAGGATGAACCTTTCCCTTTTATTTTTCCTCTGGTAATTTCCTAAGACAGATTTTCTTGGGGGTGGTAAGATAGTTCAGTAGTAGAACACCTACTTAGTATGCAGAAGGCCTTGGGTTCAATCCCCAGTGCTCACTCACCCTCTATGATATAAGGCAAATTCTTTATAATACTTAATTCTATGAATGAGAAATGAAATTATTTTCCCCAACCTAATCTACCCAGACAGACAGACACACACACACACACACACATCCAAACAGACCACTTGTCTACTGGGAGATAAACAAGTACTCCAGCCTCCTAGGAACACAACTTGGCATTTAATCTGCCACAGCTGGTCAGTATAGCTAATACATCAGCTCAATTCCCACCCTAATAAGGCTCACTGGCAAGGTGCAAAAAGTAGCAAATTTCCCTCCATCACTGCTGCTCTTCCAGCTGCTCTTCCTACATCTTGGTGCTTCAAAAGTATACACCTGGGATAAACGGCAGGGCTCGGGGTACAGACACAAAGCTTTGAGTTCAAACACCACTATTCACACACACACACACATACACCACACCTGTCAGATATCTAAATTATTCAATGTTACAAGCTCATAAACTGCCATATAAAATGTTCTCTACTTTCCTCCTCCTAACAAAAGCAGTGTCATTCTCCAATAGAAAAGTGCCAGAACTTGGTGGCTGGGGAAGCCAGCCCTGGCCCTAGCCCCAATCATACTTCCTTCCCCTCCACCCAAATACTTAGGTTTGAAATATAAATAATCCAGCCTGCACATGAAGCTCTATGCACATTCACAGCACGCCCACAGACAGCTGACACTTGGCCCTATCTGGAGTGAGAGGGCTTTATCCTTCTCACTCCAGCCAGCCTTGGGGGAAACATACATGGAAAAATGACTTGTGAAGGCCTTAGATCCAACCTGGAGCTGGACCCTGGTGTCTCACACCTGTAAACCTACCTACCTGAAAACCTGAGATGAGGAGGATCATGATTGGAGGCCAGGCCTGCACAGAAAAGTCCACAAGACTCCTTTCCAATCCAAGAGCTAGGCACATGCCTTTTACCCTCATTATGATGGGAAGCCTACAAATAGGTGGATCATGGTTCAAGTGGTTCACCTAAACAGGAAGTGAGGCCCTATTTCAAACACAGCCAGCAGAAGACAGGGCTAGGTATGATCAATGGTAAGAAGGTCTCTTTAGCAAGCACCAATCCCTGAATTCAAATACCAGTATCCCGCTTGGGATACTAGGGAAGGCACTCAGGCTCCCAAGCACCAGTACCACACAACTAGAAGGAATGGTGTAGCCCACTAACCATCACACTCATCACAGAGGGGCTCAGGTGGAGTGCTTTTTTCTAGATCTATGGACGGCAGGGAGGACAATTCTTTAATCATCTCGATTGGCCAGTACCTGTCTCAGCTGTGTGAATACAGACACTTCCTTCCCTCTGCAATCCTAGTGTCTCAACAAGTAGGGAATGCGTCAGCAATTGGCCAAGATGCAATCTTAAATCTTGGCCACCGGTTTTTCTCAAATCTGTGCCTTCTGGGCCCCAACCTAGCCCGCTGGGTGTTGATCTAATCCCTAGAAGCTTCTGTTATTTCTCAGACTCCTGAAAAACTCACATGCAGCTTGTCATCAATCCAGAAATCCCCCAAGAGGAAAAGGCAATGCAGGCTTTTTTTTGGTTTTTTTGGCCAGTCCCAGGGCTTGAACTCAGGGTCTGGGCACTGTCCCTGAGCTTCTCTAGCACTCTACCACTTGAGCCACAGCATCACTTCCAGCTTTTTCTGTTCATATGGTACTGAGGAATCAAACCCAGAGCTTCATGCATGCTAGACAAGCATTCTACCACTAAGCCACATTCCCAGCCCTTGGGGATGACTTCAAAAAGCATGTTCAGGTCATCAGGTTTCATAAATGAAAACCTTTGTGTTGGAGACAATACATATATTTTGGAGTTATCTCCCCTAAGAGATTCTGATGTACTCGTGACTCAGACTCAAAAGAAAAACTTACAGAGGCTGTCAAACTCAGGGAAAAACTTAACAGAGCCAAACTGGACCTCCCCAAAGTAATGCTGAAGTCCTAACCTCCAGTTCCAGTGTGACCTTATTTGGAAATGAGGACATTACAGACAACCAAGTGAAGAGAAGAGGTTATATTGGCCCCAGTCCAATATGACCAATGTTCTTACAAAAAGAGAAATTCTTGGACACACAGCAGGAGAACAGGAATCTATAAGACAAAGATACATTTTCTCCCTCACAGCTCTCAGAAGAAACTTAACACTGGCTGAGCACAGTGGTCTGCTCTGTAATATACCAGTCACTGAATACAGGGATCAGGAGGATGAAAGTTCCCGGCCAGTGCTAGCAAAAAGTTAATGATACATTCTCAATAGACAAAACTGGGCATGGTAGAGCATACTTGTAATCCCAGATCTTAAGGAGGCAAAGATTGGAGTGTGATCAAGAGCTAGCTCTGGGCACAAATACTAGAGTCTAACTGGAAAAAAGAAAGAAAGAAAGAAAGAAAGAAAGAAAGAAAGAAAGAAAGAAAGAAAGAAAGAAAGAAAGAAAGAAAGAAAGAAAGAAAGAAAGAAAGAAAGAAAGAAAGAAAGAAAGAAAGAAAGAAAGAAAGAAAGAAAGAAAGCTCAATTGTCTAACAAGCACAATGCTCTGAACTCAAAATCCCATTACAAAAAAAAAAGAAAAAGAAAAAAACAGAGGGAAGGAATCCTTCAAACACTTTGAACTAGTCAACGTCTAGCCTCCTGGCCATGAGACAATACTTTTTTGCTGTTTTAGCCACCAAGTTTTTCAGAGCAGCCCCAAGAAGTTAATGCAAAGGTTAAATAATAAAATTAGTGACAGCCCAGACAAACCCAGGCCTCCTTTTCCCCAGACAGATCATCTCTCCTCTCAGACCAGCTCTCATTCCCTGAGAGCCAACCATCAAGATAGTGACAGCTAGGTCAGGTATCTCCTTACTGTGGAACCATTATCAGAATCAATGTTAGCCATGTCTTCTTGTCTCTGGACAAGTGATGATTTTCTTCAATGAACTCTGATAGTCACTTCTCAAAACTAGAGTTTGCAGGAATATGTTTAAAAAACAGAATTCCTACTAGCTTAAGGACTAGAGTAGGATGTTAAGAGGCAGGAATGGTCCCAAGGAAGAAAACCCAAGAGTCAAGAGATGATGTAAGCCCTCTTGTGTATCAGATAAGTCCTTTCTCCATCAACGAATGTCACGTCCTCTGAAAAGATGCTCTAAATGGTCCCCACATAGCCTTGGGCCCCTTGGATCTTCTGATCTAGGGGGTAGACAACTGGCAAGTCTTGCCTGTACTCTCAGCCTCTGGAAGCTGACCCCAATTCATTGTCTAGCAGGCTTGTGTAAATGGCCCTGCAGGAAGATGAAAGCTCTGAGTGGGAGTCATCCTCTCTCTCTGCATTTCCTGCCAACCACTTGATGACCCATCACTGGGCCTGGGACTTAGCAAAGCAATCAAGTCATAACTCCCTTCTCAGCCAGCCTCTGCTCCCTGACGTGCCTGTGCTCTTCTGGATCCACTCAAACCCAAGGGTGTTGGACGTTCACTGTTCAGCTTTGAATTTGCATCCAGGAATTAACTTTGACCAGAGTGCCCACATTCCAAGCGTCTGACCGGGCAATGAAAGGTTTCTATGTGCCTACAGGAAATACCAGGCATCAACAAGCAAACAGAAGAAACACTGAAAAGGGATTAGAAGGGCTCAACTAGATTCCTCCACACCACTGAGGCCAGTAGTCAGATCACTCAAGGTCACCAGGCAGCAACCTCCAGCCCCAGGCAGCAGCGCCATTAAGAGAAAGGAACAACACCACCAGTTAACTCCAGGTTGCAACCCCTGGCTGGCAAATGCCAGGAACCAACCCTGAAAGGCACAGATTCCGTCTGCAAGGTGTACACGTATATTACAAGGTGCCATCACCAGCATGGACAAGAGCGGCACCCATACAAATCACAAAACTAAGTGTTGCATGGCACTCTATTGCTCCCTGGAAAGGAATAATTCATTCTATTACAGAACTGCTTAACGTTTTACCTTCTCAAGAGGTTTTCCAGGATGAAAAAAAAAGATAAAATTGTCTTAAAAATGTCTGTCTCCTAAATAAATGTGGAGCCAACAATTAAAGCACACTGAGGTCATCAAATGATTCGTCTGCTGAAAATTCTCCAGGAGGCCCAACAGCTGTCTTTCAAACTGTTTATTTCTGTTCCAGGAGTTTTTCCAGCTCTTAACACCTGGAAGGGCACAATGAAGGGCAGGCACAGGGGCATCTAATCGGGAGAGATAAGGGCCCTCAATCTTCTCCCACCACTTCCACCCGTCTAATTCTGGCTCCAGCCGGCCAATGTGGCTTCTTAGAGAACAGGGACTTGGTTGTGCTCATTGGCTAACTGCTAGAGCCCATCCGGATCCAAACTAGTCCTCAGCTGGCTGCCCATGCTGCAGTCAGGTCTGGGCACTGGCATGGAGTCCTTAGCTGAGGGTTTTATTTATGGTCTTGTTTGCTGAGCAGGAGACCTGGAGCTCTGGGCCAGGCAGACTGGCTGGGCTGCCTGCTGTTTACTCATCCGGCTGTCTTCTTCCTCCTCGGCTCTCAACAAACCCCAAGGCCAAGCCTCCCTTACCCCCAACACAACTTAACTGCTCCTAGAGGCTCCGTTTAACCCAGGAACGACTTCACCCTTCGGGGACTGTCCCCCCTTCCCCCACGCCAGCCTATTTCCAGTAGCATCTCCACCTGTTCCAAGGTTCTGATTCTTTTTCATTGGTACAGAACCAGCAAAGCTGGTTCAAATTCGCCCTAACCTCCGCACCCTCGCGCTTTCAGCTGCGCGCGGGGGGGGGGGGGGGGGGGGGGGAATGATCCAGTCGCCGCGGGGCGCCACCAGGAACCGGTCCCCCCAAACTCTGCCACCAGCTTGGGCAAGGCTACTAAACACTCGGAAAGTAAACCCTGAACTTGATTCCTGGGAGGCTCGGGGTCTGTCAGCGCTGCGGGTGCAATTCTGCCGCAGAACCTGACGCTAAAGCAAAGCCACGGTGTGCCAACCCCAGGAGGCACGGCCCCCCACCCCCCGTCCCAAGGATCTGGGGTTGTTTTTCTCTCCCCCCCCCTCCCACCCGAGCTCCCCGGGTCCCGCTGTCCCTCCGCGCGCCTCCTCCCAGCTACCCGGTGCCGTCCACCTGCTCCTCTGCTCCGCCGTCAAGTTCAGAGGGACGTCCGCCAGCCCAGCCAGCCGGACCCCCACATTTGGACGATGAGGCCCCAGCTGGCCGCCTTTATCTCCAGCCGGCCCGGTCCTGGCCGGGAATCGGCCGGACTTCCCATTTCTCAGGTAGGGGAGGAGGAGCGCAGCAGCACCCCAGCCTCGGGCACGGGGGACCCCCATGCCATCCCCTCCTCCCACCTCCCCTGCAGCAGCGGGCAGACACGCCCAGCCCGAGGACGGCCTCCCACCTCGGCGCGGCTCTTGAGGCTGCTCCGCTTAGGTCGGAGCAGGACATCCTTGAAGTCTAGCTTGAGGTCTGCATCTATGCGGGGCATGGCGCGGGCCGAGCTCGGAAGACGCCTTCCTGCGGCAGAGGAGGCAGGGGCGGCCGGAGCGCGTGCGTGGTTCGGTGCCAGGGAAGCCGCGCGGAGGTCGGAACGACAGCGGGCCTCGTGGGCACCCGCGCTCTTATGCGAGCCCCACGCGGCGCCCCGCCCACACCCTCGCCGACTGGGTGGCCTCGCCCGGTCCTGGCCTCGCCCAGGTCTGTTCTGGCCCAGCCGACTCGGCTCTGACTCCGCCCCGTCATGCCCTGGCCCCGCCTCACCTTGTTCTCCAGTGGGTCGGTCCTGACTCCGCCCCACCCTGTTCTGGCTCCGCCCTGCTCTTCTGTTGTCCACTCCTAACTCCGCCCCATGCTGTCTTGACCCCGCCCCCATTTAGCATGAGCCCGCCCTTCTCTGCTGACCCCGCCCTAGCCTTTCTGGCCCCGCCCCTTCTTGGTCCTGTGTCACCTGGTCCTGGGAATGCCCAGTGCTAGGGGAGAGAGGGAAGAGGTCAGTAAGCCCAAGTCTGACAGACCTTGGCTGAGTCTCTGCCCATCCCCCTGCTCTTTGAGGTGACCAGAGAGAGGAGGGAGGGGAAGTAGTGACGCACATGGTCTTTCACCAATGACCAAGATCCACTATGGGGCTGTCATAGGGTGGCTACCTTATCCAAAGGAAGGTCATCCTCAGAAGGTTTGACTTTTCCTTTCATTTCAATCCAGCGCACCCCCCAGGCACTGAGGGGACCTTCGCACTGGCCAAAGGAGAAACCTTGGGAGGTTGGATACGATTTAAAGAGAGCTAGGGGTGAGTTTTCCCGCACTGAGCCTCAGCATTAAGAGCGAGATTATTTAGGCCTTTTTTTTTTTTTTTCTTTTTTGGATGCCCTTTGGATTTCAGGTCTGTGTTTGATCATTTACATAAAAACACCATAAGGTCTAAAAATCTTGGGTTGAGAGGAACCTGGATTCTCTCTGTGAGATGATTTGTAGCTTATTTGGACCTCTTAAACACAGGATGTGTTTAAGGGTTTGGCCTGCTCTTTCATCCATTCTCCAAAGTGCTCAGTAGAGGAAGGAAAACAAGGCTTAGAGAAACCCTGGGCTCAACTCCCAGCATGGCCAAAATAAATAACCTCCCTAAGGCTGCAGAAAAATTAAATATCAGTCTCTAAGTCCTTAAAAGTTACTGTAACTTTTCACTGAAGTAGCTTTGGTCCTTGGGACTCTGTCTGCTTAGTATGAAAACTGGACCTGGCAACTTTCTACCAGGGTGTGACCTTCAGAGAGCCACTCAAATTTCTCTGAAGCAGTTTTCTAATGGACTAAAAGGAAAAGCTATCTTCTCTGAGGTTTTTATGAGAATTACATTGTGTGTGTAATAACCATGTGTGTTCCCTAGTAATTGTTCAACAAATGGAGTACCTATGTAGGGTTGCAGGTTGCATTGTGTGTCTTAGGTTACTAAACTCACAAAGGTAGGAACCACTTTCCTTTTCTTTCAGTTCTCTAGAGCCTCCAACTATTCTCTATAACCTTTTACCTTACTTTTGGCTGACCATAGAGACTCAATGAGCATAAAATGCTTTTAAAAAAAAATTCTTAGCTAGTCCTAGTGTTTGAATTCAATGTCTCGGGCTTGCTAGGTAGACACTCTTCCACTTGAGCCTTGTCCCCACCCCACACAAAATGCGTTTTCACACATATGTCTGCAAATGATAAAGCTCCTAACCCATTCTGCTTGCTCTCATTATCTTTACTGCACAGGAAGGTCACATCGTTTCCTGGAAGAAAAAGAAAGTTATCAGACAGAATGAAAATAACCACCATTAGTCAGCCAACAAAATGTGTATAGGCCTTTTCAAATCTTTGGAAGCTGGCCAGATGTGCCACTTATTTGCAATGTAGTGATCTTCAGTTTCCAATTAAAGATAAAAGTAAAATGTAATTACTATATGATAGGGTTATTTAAAAAGTATTCTCCCAAAAGGGAAGAGAAACTCACCTTGTTAAGTATCTGATCACAGTGAATTCCTGAGGTAGATGAGGGCTCTACCTGACTATTGCATACATTTCCTTAAGAAAATGCTGCCTTCCTTTGTCCTTGCTTACACTCTGGGATGGTAGCTCAGTTCTAAGTTTCTTGTCCCTGTCCCTCTCCCCATTTCTATTGGAAGAAGATGGAAGTCCACTTTTCATATGTGATCCCCTCCCCTTCTGGAAGATTCTAGCACTATGGCCTGCTCAGACACAAAACTTACACCCCTTCTAGCATCAGTGTGAATCCTTACCCACTCTATAATGCCTTATATCATGAATGGTCCCCAAACTTGTATGTTGAAGGCTGAGTCCCCAGCCTATGACACTGATGGGAGAGAAGTAGGGCCTTAGGACCTCCCTCGAAGGGATTATTGAGACCCTGCCCCTTCCTCCTCTTTGCTTCCCAGCCACCATGAGGTAAGTACCTTTCTGTAACACATGCTCCCACCATGGTGTGATGAGGTACCACAGGCCCAAAGGCAAGAGGCTCAACTGACCAGGGACTGTTGCTCTTTCACTGTAAGCCAAAAGAAACCTTCCTTCTCTTTAAGATATCTCAAGTATATTTTTATAGTGATAGGAAGCTGACCAGCACTGACTCCTTTACATAGCCTTAGCACCTTGCACATAATTCTGCTTCTTATTGCACTAGTAATAAATAATAAGAATAGCTCCCATTCTACCACTGAGGTGTTTCGCCTGCTCTTGGTGCTTTAGCAAGCTTTCTCCCACCATCCTTCCCTCCCTCCCTCTCTCTTTGATAGCAGAGTTTCAACTCAGGGCCTTGCATTCACTCAACTTTCTTGCTCAAGGCTGATGCCTGTAATCCTAGCTACTCAGGAAGCTGAGATCTGAGGAACACAGTTCAAAGCCAGCCTGGGCAGGAAACTCAGTGAGACTCTTATCTCCAATAAACCACTAGAAAACCAGAAGTGGTGCTGTGGCTCAAGTGGTAGAGTGCAGAGAAATTGCCCAGGCCCAGAGTTCAAGCCCCACTACTGACAAAAAAAAAAAAAAAAAACTATTTAGGAAGATATTTCCCAAAATTATCTGAAATAAATCTCACTTGATCACTATGTACATTTTTTTTTAATGGTCCTGGCTCTTGAACTCGGCCTGAGTGCTGTCCCTCAGCTCTTCAGCTCAACGTGAGCTCTCCACCACTTAAGCCACAGCACCACCTCCAGTTTTCTGGTGGATAATTGGAGATCAGAGTTTCATGGACTTTCCTGTCCAGGCTGGCTTTGAACTGTGATCCTCAGATCTCAGTCTCCTGAGTAGCTAGGATTACAGGTGTGAGCCACAGGTGCCTGGCTCACTATGTACATGTTTGTATCTAGGGCCTCATTAATACAAGGCAAGTGCTTTACCACTTGAGCCATATCCCCAGACATTTTGTTTCTGAGACAGTCTAGCTAACTGCCCTGACTGACCTTGAACTCTTGCTTCCTTCTGCTTCCTGAGTAGCTGGGATTACAGATAGTATATCACCACACCTAGCTCAAGTTTGTTAATATTTTGTTGAGGATTTTAAAATCTAAGTCTATAAGGGACTTGAATCTGTAGTTTTCTTCTTCTGATGTCTTTGTAGGGAGGTGGCGGGGGGGGGGGGGGGGGGGGGCGGGGTTCATAAGAATCATCTGGGAATGCTCCTTGCGCCCTGCTCTATTTGCTGAAAGAGCTTAGATAGGATTGGAATTAATTCTTTAAATAGCTGATCGAATTAACCAGTAACCTAAAACTATGAGGAATGAAAAAGTAGCCTATGTTAACAAATAAGTATTTTTTCAAAACCCCAAAATAATTAAAATTGAGTACAAATTAAAAGCTTTGAAAGCCAAGTTCTGGTGGCTTACACCTATAATCCTAGCTACTCAGGAGGCTGACATCTGAAGATCATGGTTCAAAGCCAGCCTGGACAGATAAATCCTGGAAACTCTTAACTCCAATTAACCAGCAAAATAGTTGGAACTGGAGGTGCGGCTCAAATGGTAGAACATGAGCTATGAGTGTAACAGCTGAGCAGGAGTGTAAGGTCCTGAGTTCAAGCACTAGTACCAGCATACACACACACACACACACACACACCAAATTTTGAGAAATTTAACGTCATAGTATTTAATAATATGGGAATAAAAATGTGTGCATATTTGATATTTTGTGTACTTGTAATGCTTGTGACCATTTGTTCCATTAGATTAAGAACAATCTAATTTAATCTTGAAATATTCAAAATGAGTATTTGAATTTAAACCTGGAAGGATGAGGTGAAATTCATTAAGTTTATGTCACTCTGGTGTGACATTGAAGAGAATGTCAATGGTACATGCAGAGTTTATGAGAGTTAATAAATGACTGTGGCAAACTCTGCTCCAGCAAGCTTACTATTTCCTGGTACCTAATAACCACTGAGAAGCTGAAGCAAATGTAAATTCTGCGTCAGCAGCTCTGGGTGGGGTCCCGGTTTGCATTTCTGACAAGGGCTTAGGTGAGTCTGGATCTAAAAACCACAAGTTGAGGGACTGGAGCTGCACTATTCTGGCTTTAAAGGGGAATCTATTCCATTGTGGTATCTATTCCTTTAAAAAAAAAAATAGTCAGAAGTGAGCCAGGCCTGTTAATCCAAGCTATTCAGGAGGTTGAAATCTAAGGATGGAGATTTGAAGCTATCCTGGAGAGAAAAGTTCCCAAGACCCTTATTTCCAAAGAACCACCAAAAAGGTGGAAGTGGAGATGTGGCTCAAGTGGTAGAGTCCAACCTTGACTGGAGAAAACCAAGTGAGATGAGACCCTATTTAAAAAACAACAAAAGCAAAAAGGACTAGGTGTACCTCAAGGGGCAGAATCCTGCCTAAAATGCATAAGACCCTGAATTCAAACCGGAATACCATCACTGAAAGGGCGGGGGTGGGGGGTGGGAAGAATTCATATAGCCCAAATGCTAGAGCATATGCTTAACATGTATAAGGCCCTGGATTCTACATTGAATAACAGTAATAAATGAATTTTAGAAAAGAAACAGCAGCTGGGCACCGGTGGGCTCGAGTCTGTAATTCTAGC